GGGTCCTAAGCCTGGTGATGAGCTTGGAGGGGACAATGGTGTTGAATGCTGAGCTGTAGTCAATGAGATTGCGTCGACTATTGATCCGTTGAGGCGGTATGAACATTGGAGTGGGTCTAGGGTGTTTGGGATGATGGAGTTCATGTGTGCCTTAACCAGCCTTTCAAAGCACTTCATGATTACAGATGTGAGTGCTACAGGGCAGTAGTCATTGTGGCATGAAGCCTTAGAGTTCTTGGGAACAGGAATCATGGTAGTTGTCTTAAAACGTGGGGACAATAAAAGGCCACTCTAAAATGTGCAGTTTTTTCACCCAACACAATGCCACAGATGTCTCAAGTTTTGAGGGAGCGTGCAATTGGCATGCTGACTGCAGGAATGTCCACCAGAGCTGTTGCCAGAGAATTGAAGGTTAATTTCTTTGCCATAAGCGGCCTCCAAAGTCATTTTAGAGAATTTGGCAATACGTCCAACTGGCCTCACAACCGCAGACCACGTGCAACCACACCAGTCCAGGACGTTCACATCTGGCATCTACACCTGTGGGATCATCTGAGACCAGCCACCTGGACAGCTGATGAAACTGTGGGTTTGCACAACCGAAGAATTTCTGCACAAACTGTCAGAAACCATCTCAGGAAAGCTCATCTGCGTGCTCGTCGTCCTCACCAGGGTCTTGACCTGACTGCAATTCAGCGTCGTAACCGACTTCAGTGGGCAAATGCTCACCTTTGATGGCCACTGGCATGCTGGAGAAGTGTGCTCTTTACGGATGAATCCCGGTTTCAACTGTACCGGGCAGATGTCAGACAGCATGTTTGACATCGTGTGGGTGAGCGGTTTGCTGATGTCAACGTGTGCCCCATGGTGGCGATGGTGTTATGGTATGGGCAAGCATAAGCTACGGACAACGAACACAATTGGATTTTATCGATGGCAATTTGAATGCACAGAGATACTGTGACGAGATCCTGAGGCCCATTGTCGTGCCATTCATCCACCGCTGTCACCTCATGCTTCAGCATGATAATGCACAGCCCCATGATGCAATGATCTTTACACAATTCCTGGAAGCTGAAAATGTCCCAGATCTTCCATGGCCTGCATACTCACCAGACATGTCACCCATTGAGCATGTTTGGGATGCTCTGGATCGACATGTACAACAACGTGTTCCAGTTCCCGCTAACATCAACTTCGTACAGCTATTGAAGAGGAGTAGGACAACATTCCACAGGCCACAATCAACAGCCTGATCGAAGGAGATCGCGCTGCATGAGGCAAATGGTGGTCACAAGCCCCTACATTTTTAAGGTGTCTGTGACCAAAAGATGCAAATCTGTATTCCCAGTATTGTGAAATCTATAGGTTAGGGTCTAATTTATTTATTTGAATTGACTGATTTCATTATATGAACTGTATCTCAGTAAAATCGTTGAAATTGTTGCATGTTGCGTTTATATTTTTGTTCATTGTACTTTACTTATTCATCTGTACATAAAGATGAATACCGAAACATATATATGTGTGATGTTAGGGTTGGCATGACATCCAGGGAACTCTTACCACTCTTAGTGGACACTGTGTTAACAAACCTCCAAACGAGCTTCAATGCCATACAACACTCCTTCAGTAGCCTCCAACTGCTCTTAAACACTAGTAAAACTAAATGCATGCTCTTCAATCGAACGCTGCTGGCACCCGCCCACCCGACTAGAATCACTACTCTCGACGGGTCTGACCTAGAGTATGTGGACAACTACAAATACCTAGGTGTCTGGTTAGACTGTAAACTCTCCTTCCAGACTCACATTAAGAATCTCCAATCCAAAGTTAAATCCAGAATCGGCTTCCTATTTCGCAACAAACCCTCCGTCACTCATGCTGCCAAACATGCCCTCGTAAAACTGACTATCCTACCGATCCTTGACTTCGGCGATGTCATTTACAAAATAGCCTCCAACACTCTACTCAGCAAATTTGATGTAGTCTATCACAGTGCCATCCGTTTTGTCTCCAAAGCCCCATACACTACCCACCACTGTGACCTGTACGCTCTTGTTGGCTGGTCCTCATTACATGTTCGTCGTCAAACCCACTGGCTCCAGGCTATCTATAAATCACTGCTAGGCAAATCCCCGCCTTATCTTAGCTCATTGGTCACCACAGCAACACCCACCCGTAGTATGCGCTCCAGCAGGTATATCTCACTGGTCATACCCAAAGCCAACACCTCCTTTGGCCACCATTCCTTCCATTTCTCTGCTGCCAATGACTGGAACGAATTGCAAAAATCTCTGAAGCTGGAGACTCTTATCTCCCTCACTAACTTTAAGCATCAGTTGTCAGAGCACCTTACCGATCACTGCACCTGTACACAGCCCCATCTGAAATTAGCCCACCCAACTACCTCAGCCCTATATTGTTATTTATTTTGCTCATTTGCACCCCAGTATCTCTATTTGCACATAATCTCTTGCACATCTATCATTCCAGTGTTAATACTAATTGTAATTATTTTGCACTATAGCCTATTTATTGCCTTACCTCCATAACTTGCTACATTTGCACACACTGTATATATATTTTCTGTTGTATTTTTTGACTTTATGTTTTGTTTTACCCCATATGTAACTCTGTGTTGTTGTTTTTATCGCACTGCTTTGCTTTATCTTGGCCAGGTCGCAGTTGTAAATGAGAACTTGTTCTCAACTGGCTTACCTGGTTAAATAAAGGTGAAATAAAATAAAAATAAAAAACTACTTTTGACTAGGGCCCATATAGCTTGGTCTAAAGTAGTATACTATGTACGAAATAGGGTCCCATATATGACGCCCCACTGGGTAAAGACTGGTTGAATCAATGTTGTTTCCACGTCATTTCAACAAAAACAATCAATGTGATGACGTTGAATCAACATGGAAAACTGATTGGATTGCAAAAAGTCATCAACATAAGGGAATTTCATATTTATTTCACCCAACTTTTAACCTAAATCCAATGGCATGGTGACATTTTTGTTGATTATATGTTGAATTCACACTAGTTGACAACTCAACCAAATGTAAATCCAAAATAGACGTTAAACTGATGTCTGTGCCCAGTGTAGATTAAAATGTTTCTGTTCCACTTCTATATGTCCAGAGTTTACTGTGAAGGGGAAAGATCTGAAGCCATGTGACAATGATAACCGCGTGTGTGTCACTGACTACAGCGACTGTGTCCCCAAATCTCCTGTGTCTCATGGTAGGAAGTTGACTATTTAACCTCCTTCATGATATCAGATTGTTTTTACTATTACTTTACTATTACTTTTACTAGCACTAGTACTTTTATTAGTACTGTTACTACTACTTTGAGAGAGAGTACATTTGCTGAGACTAAAAGTAATGTACAGTGCCTTTGGAAAGTATTCAGACCCCTTAACTTTGTCCACATTTTGTTACGTGACAGCCTTATTCTAAAATGCATTAAATAAAAATATTTCCTCAGCAATCTACTCACAATACCCCATAATGACAAAGTGAAAACAGGTTCTTTTTTACATAAGTATTCAGACCCTTTGCTATGAGACTCGAAATTGAGCTCAGGTGCATCCTGTTTCCATTGATCATCCTTGAGATGTTTCTACAACTTGATTGGAGTCCATCTGTGGTAAATTATATTAATTGGACATGATTTGGAAAGGCACCTGTCTATATAAGGTCCCACAGTTGACAGTAAATGTCAGAGCAAAAACCAAGCCATGAGGTCGAAGGAATTGTCCGCAGAGCTCCGAGACAGGATTGTGTCGAGGCACAGATCTGGGGAAGGGTACCAACAAATTTCTGCAGTATTGAAGGTCCCCAAGTACACAGTGGCCTCAATCATTCTTAAATGGAAGAAGTTTGGAACCACCAAGACTCTTCCTAGAGCTGGCCACCCGGCCAAACTGAGCAATCGGGGGAGAAGGGCTTTGGTCAAGGAGGTGACCAAGAACCCGATGGTCACTCTGACAGAGCTCTAGAGTTCCTCTGTAGAGATGGGAGAACTATCCAGAAGGACAACCATCTCTGCAACACTCCACCAATCAGGCCTTTATGGTAGAGTGGCCAGACGGAAGCCACTCCTCAGTAAAAGGCACATGACAGCCTGCTTGGAGTTTTCCAAAAGGCACCTAAAGAATCTCAGACCATGAGAAACAAGATTCTCTGGTCTGATGAAATCAAGATTGAACTCTTTGGCCTGAATGCCAAGTGTCACGTCTAGAGGAAACCTGGCACCATCCCTACGGTGAAGCATGGTGGTGGCAGCATCATGCTGTGGGGATGTTTTCAGCGGCAGGGACTGGGAGACTAGTCAGGATCGAGGGAAAGATGAACGGAGCAAAGTACAGAGAGATCCTTGATGAAAACCTGCTCCAGAGCACTCAGGACCTCAGACTGGGGCGAAGGGCCACCTTCCAACAGGACAACCACCCTAAGCACACAGTCAAGACAACGCAGGAGTTGCTTCGGGACTTGAACCCGATCTAACATCTCTGGAGAGACCTGAAAATAGCTGCGCAGCAACAATCCCCATCCAACCTGACAGAGCTTGAGAGGATCTACAGAGAAAAATGGGAGAAACCCAAATATCGGTGTGCCAAGCTTGTAGCATCATACCCAAGAATACTCTAGGCTCTAATTGCTGCCAAAGGTGCTTCAACAAAGTACTGAGCAATCATTTCTAAAAACCTGTTTTTACTTTGTCATTATTGGGTATTGTGTGTAGATTGATGAGGAAAAAAACGATATAATTAATGTTGGAATAAGGCTGTAACCTAACAAAATGTGGAAAATGTCAAGGGGTCAGAATACTTTCCGAAAGGCACTGTATCTACTTATAGCAATCTATTCTCTCATGGCTCTGGTTTCCTCTATCATGTGTTTTATGCATTTATTTTATGTGTGTGACTTGATTTCAAATAATTATAGTACTCCACTGCCTTTTCATTTCCCCATTTGCCTCCATTTTCAGAAAGGGTGAACATATCATGCTTTTTTCTACTCACTGACTATCCTCTGTCTCCGTACCCTCAATGCCTTTGGAGTCAGGAATATAACATCAATGCAGAAAGCATGTACTCTCTCATTTTCAGTCAGTAAGTACATTTCAGTCATCTTAAATATTGCACAAAATATTACACCTTTATACTTTATTGTGACGTCAATTATTTGATCAGGGCTAATCAAGGTCATATCAACTGACTTTGCACCTATGTTGAATTGCTCCATCACCTGGGCTCCCTTTCCACAGGACAAAATACTATATATCAAGAATAATGCTTACCATGACAGCATTGACATCTAAAATTGTCTCATTTATTATGAATATTAATTTCAGGCACCACTCCTATTTATTCTTGTACGGGAATCTTCAACTTTGGTGGACGAATGAATGTAACTTTAAAAATGAAGAACAACATGAACGGAATGGAGTCGTGGTCAGAGCCCTACGAAGTGGCGGTACTTGAAGCAAGTAATAACCCTTTAATTGCTCATTTAGAATGCCAGTACACCTGACTTGTAGCACATAATATGAGATGAGATGAGGGACATGTGTTGTTTATTTCAATTATGAACAGACGTCTTGTTGAATCTTGAATTTATAAATGTATTTATAATTTATTTATACATTTATGGAATTTATAAAACATGTTTGTGTATTTATTAGGATCCCCATTACTCTTCCTGGGGTCCAGACAGGGTTAAAACAGTTACATCACAACAAAATACAACAACAGCCTTAATCATAAATAAAACAATACATCATACATTACATTACTGCTATAATATTACAAATGTACAATATAAAATCCAGAATACCACAACATTCCAATGTTTGTGTGTGTGTGTGTGTGTGTGTGTTTGTGTGTGTGTCTCCTCACAGTCCGCATTGTGCCTTGAGGTGTTGTTTTATCTGTTTTTTTAAATCTGATTTTAATGCTCGTTTGAGTTACTTGATATGGAAGAGTTCCATGTAGTCATGGCTTTCTCAGATCTGTTCTGGACTTGGGGACTGTAAAGAGACCCCTAGTGGCATGTCTTGTGGGGTATGTACAGTATGGGTGTCTGAGCTATGTGTTAGCTGTTTGAACAGACAGTTCGGTGCTTTCAACATGTCAGTACCTCTCACAAAGACAAGTAGTGATGCAGTCAATCTACTTTGAGCCAGGAGAGATTGGCATGCATGTTCTTGATATTAGCCCTCCTTTCACATTTAAGGGCCAGCCGTTCTGCTCTGTTCTGGGCCAACTTTAATTTGCCTATGTCTTTCTTTGCAGCACTTCCAGGTATGATAAAACTAAGGCCTGTAGTTTAAAAATATATATATTTAGGACTAGCTTATTACTTTACACACATTCTAAAACTAACTGCAGCTCTTTGTTAAGTGTAGCAGTGATTTCACTTGCTGTGGTAGCTGCCGTATATAATGTTGAGTCATCAGTCACACAGGCTTTGTGTGTGTGTGTGTGTGTGTGTGTGTGTGTGTGTGTGTGTGTGTGTGTGTGTGTCCTCACAGTCCGCATTGTACTGTGAGGTGTTGTTTTTTCTGTTGTTTACTATGACTATGAGGAATGTGGGGACAGTAAGAGGGGATGAGAATTTGTCGTTTCACTTCATTTTCTTTTTGCTAAATGGAACAGTAAAGGCACCTTGTCCTACCATCACATCAGTCAATGGCTCTGACAACTCACTGGAGGTGACATGGGGGATCAGCAAGTGGCACACTAGATGTCGGGTCCGTTACCGAATGGCCACCACTGACAAATGGACTCAGGTATTGACTTCATTCTCTTCTGCTCTCACCTCACTATCCAGAAATCTTCAAGTCTCTGACAGTGCACATGCTGTTATATGATGTATATTTTAATCCAACGTTACATTTATTTGGGTAGTTAAAGCCTGAACCCAGACTACGTCCAAAATAGCACCATATTCCCTATATGGTGCACTTCTTTTGACCAGGGCCCATAGGGCTCTTTTCAAAAGCAGTGCACAATGTACGGAATAAGGTGCCATTTGGGACGGAGACACAGTGATGTACTGCCATCTCTCATACCAGATCCCAGCCTATGTTCCTGTGGAATACCCTGATAAAACAGTCTACACAATTGAAGGCCTCAAGCCGTTCAGCAGCTACATCATAGCCGTTTCCTGCATTTTGTCATATGGTCACTGGAGTGACTGGAGCATGGAGACAACTGGGACAACACTGGAGAGTGGTAATACAGTTAATGATAAATCCAAGTCATGCCTTACACATGCTTCAACATTTGGAAACCTTACTGAGACTGTCAATAACCCTGGATAGCTCCAGGGTGGGAATTAGACTTTATGAAATCAGCAAGTAATGTTAGTTCAGTGGTGTGTGACAAAGCTACATTTAAGCAATAAGGCCCGAGGGGGTGAGGTATATGACTAATATACCACGGCTAAGGGCTGTTCTTACGCATGACGCAACACAGAGTGCCTGGATACAGCCCTTAGCTGTGGAATATTGGCCATATACCACAACCCCCGAGGTTCCTTATTGCTATTATAAACTGATTACCAACATAATTAGAGCAGTAAAAATAAATGTTTTGTCATACCCATGGTATACAGTCTGATATACCACAGCTGTCAGCCAATCAGCATTCAGGGCTCGAACCACCCAGTTTATAATTGAAAACAACATATGGATGCCAGACTAAGATGTTGTGTGCAGGAGGGCTCCTGATACTGCCACATCATGCTAGGGCTTATTTTTGTGTTTTCACAGCACCCTCTAGATCGCCAGATATCTGTTATCATATGGAGACGGTGAACAAGCAAGGACCTCATCACCTTATGCTTATGTGGAAGGTCATTTGTGTTTAAAACATTGTTCTTGGGCTCATCCTCAACTTTTATCTTGCTGTCTAAATCTATACTCAAGATTTGATAAAGGTCTGCATTCGGTCATGTGTACAGTGGGGGAAAAAAGTATTTAGTCAGCCACCAATTGTGCAAGTTCTCCCACTTAAAAAGATGAGAGAGGCCTGTAATTTTCATCATAGGTACACGTCAACTATGACAAACAAAATGAGAAAAAAATATCCAGAAAATCACATTGTAGGATTTTTAATGAATTTATTTGCAAATTATGGTGGAAAATAAGTATTTGGTCAATAACAAACGTTTCTCAATACTTTGTTTTATACCCTTTGTTGGCAATGACACAGGTCAAACGTTTTCTGTAAGTCTTCACAAGGTTTTCACACACTGTTGCTGGTATTTTGGCCCATTCCTCCATGCAGATCTCCTCTAGAGCAGTGACGTTTTGGGGCTGTCACTGGGCAACACGGACTTTCAACTCCCTCCAACGATTTTCTATGGGGTTGAGATCTGGAGACTGGCTAGGCCACTCCAGGACCTTGAAATGCTTCTTACGAAGCCACTCCTTCGTTGCCAGGGCGGTGTGTTTGGGATCATTGTCATGCTGAAAGACCCAGCCACGTTTCATCTTCAATGCCCTTGCTGATGGAAGGAGGTTTTCACTAAAAATCTCACAATACCTGGCCCCATGAATTCTTTCCTTTACACGGATCAGTCGTCCTGGTCCCTTTGCAGAAAAACAGCCCCAAAGCATGATGTTTCCACCCCCATGCTTCACAGTAGGTATGGTGTTCTTTGGAAGCAACTCAGCATTCTTTGTCCTCCAAACACGACGAGTTGAGTTTTTACCAAAAAGTTCTATTTTGGTTTCATCTGACCATATGACATTCTCCCAATCCTCTTCTGGATCATCCAAATGCACTCTAGCAAACTTCAGAGGGGCCTGGACATGTACTGGCTTAAGCAGGGGGACACGTCTGGCACTGCAGGATTTGAGTCCCTGGCGGCGTAGTGTGTTACTGATGGTAGGCTTTGTTACTTTGGTCCCAGCTCTCTGCAGGTCATTCACTAGGTCCCCCCGTGTGGTTCTGGGATTTTTGTTCACCGTTCTTGTGATCATTTTGACCCCACGGGGTGAGATCTTGCGTGGAGCCCCAGATCGAGGGAGATTATCAGTGGTCTTGTATGTCTTCCATTTCCTAATAATTGCTCCCACAGTTGATTTCTTCAAACCAAGCTGCTTACCTATTGCAGATTCAGTCTTCCCAGCCTGGTGCAGGTCTACAATTTTGTTTCTGGTGTCCTTTGACAGCTCTTTGGTCTTGGTCATAGTGGAGTTTGGAGTGTGACTGTTTGAGGTTGTGGACAGGTGTCTTTTATACTGATAACAAGTTCAAAAAGGTGCCATTAATACAGGTAACGAGTGGAGGACAGAGGAGCCTCTTAAAGAAGAAGTTACAGGTCTGTGAGAGCCAGAAATCTTGCTTGTTTGTAGGTGACCAAATACTTATTTTCCACCATAATTTGCAAATAAATTCATAAAAAATCCTACAATGTGATTTTCTGGAGAAAAAAATTCTCAATTTGTCTGTCATAGTTGACGTGTACCTATGATGAAAATTACAGGCCTCTCTCATCTTTTTAAGTGGGAGAACTTGCACAATTGGTGGCTGACTAAATACTTTATTTCCCCACTGTACATACATGACCGAAAGGCCAATCGGATAAGGCCTCAGATCAGATCATGATGTTGACAGTGGGGTCCGAAATTATTGACACCCTTGATAATGATGAGCAAAAACTATTTTTGCTGTGTTAAGGTTTATATGTATTTACACTACCGGTCAAAAGTTTTAGAACAACTACTCATTCAAGGGTTTTTCTTTATTTTTTTACTATTTTCTACATTGAAGAATAATAGTGAAGACATCAAAATTATGAAATAACACATACAGTGAGGGAAAAAAGTATTTGATCCCCTGCTGATTTTGTACGTTTGCCCACTGACAAAGACATGATCAGTCTATAATTTTAATGGTAGGTTTATTTGAACAGTGAGAGACAGAATAACAACAAACAAATCCAGAAAAACGCATGTCAAAAATGTTATAAATTGATTTGCATTTTAATTAGGGAAATAAGTATTTAACCCCTCTGCAAAACATGACTTAGTACTTGGTGGCAAAACCCTTGTTGGCAATCACAGAGGTCAGACGTTTCTTGTAGTTGGCCACCAGGTTTGCACACATCTCAGGAGGGATTTTGTTCCACTCCTCTTTGCAGATCTTCTCCAAGTCATTAAGGTTTCGAGGCTGACGTTTGACAACTCGAACCTTCAGCACCCTCCACAGATTTTCTATGGGATTAAGGTCTGGAGACTGGCTAGGCCACTCCAGGACCTTAATGTGCTTCTTCTTGAGCCACTCCTTTGTTGCCTTGGCCGTGTGTTTTGGGTCATTGTCATGCTGCAATACCCATCCACGGCCCATTTTCAATGCCCTGGCTGAGGGAAGGAGGTTCTCACCCAAGATTTGACAGTACATGTCCCCGTCCATCGTCCCTTTGATGAGGTGAAGTTGTCCTGTCGCATTAGCAGAAAAACACCCCCAAAGCATAATGTTTCCACCTCCATGTTTGACGGTGGGGATGGTGTTCTTGGGGTCATAGGCAGCATTCCTCCTCCTCCAAACACGGCGAGTTGAGTTGATGCCAAAGAGCTCAATTTTGGTCTCATCTGACCACAACACTTTCACCCAGTTCTTCTCTGAATCATTCAGATGTTCATTGGCAAACTTCAGACGGCCCTGTAAATGTGCTTTCTTGAGCAGGGGGATCTTGCGGGCGCTGCCGGATTTCAGTCCTTCACGGCGTAGTGTGTTACCAATTGTTTTCTTGGTGACTATGGTCCCAGCTGCCTTGAGATCATTGACAAGATCCTCCCATGTAGTTCTGGGCTGATTCCTCACAGTTCTCATGATCATTGCAACTCCACGAGGGGAGATCTTGCATGGAGCCCCAGGCCGAGGGAGATTGACAGTTCTTTTGTGTTTCTTCCATTTGCGAATAATCGCACCAACTGTTGTCACCTTCTCACCAAGCTGCTTGGTGATGGTCTTGTAGCCCATTCCAGCCTTGTGTAGGTCTACAATCTTGTCCCTGACATCCTTGGAGAGCTCTTTGGTCTTCGCCATGGTGGAGAGTTTGGAATCTGATTGATTGATTGCTTCTGTGGACAGGTGTCTTTTATACAGGTAACAAGCTGAGATTAGGAGCACTCCCTTTAAGAGTGTTCTCCTAATCTCAGCTCGTTACCTGTATAAAAGACACCTGGGAGCCAGAAATCTTTCTAATTGAGAGGGGGTCAAATACTTATTTCCCTCATTAAAATGCAAATAAATGTATAACATTTTTGACATGCGTTTTTCTGGATTTTTTTGTTGTCATTCTGTCTCTCACTGTTCAAATAAACCTACCATTAAAATTATAGACTGATCATTTCTTTGTCTGTGTGCAAACGTACAAAATCAGCAGGGGATCAAATAATTTTTTCCCTCACTGTATGGAATCATGTAGTAACCAAAAAAGTGTTAAACAAATTTTAGATTCTTCAAATAGACACCTTTTGCCTTGATGACAGCTGTCACGTCTACTCCTACTCCTCCCCTCCGGCGTGCGATGTCGCCGGCATACACCTGGCATCCATCATTACGTGTACCTGCAGATCATTATGATTCACACCTGGACTTCCTCATTACCTCCCCTTTTTCAGTCCCACCCTTACGTTCATTCCTCAGTCGGTATTGTTCCTGTGTTCATGCTATATCGCCACTGTTACGCTGTCTCGTTTCATGTTTGTTGTTTTTATTAAACGTTTCACCTGCACCTGCTTCTCCACTCACAGCGTCATTGTTACAACAGCTTTGCACACTCTTGGCATTCTCTCAACCAGCTTCATGAGGTAGTCACCTGGAATGCATTTCAATTAACAGGTGTGCCTTCTTAAAGGTTAATTTGTGGAATTTCTTTCCTTCTTAATGCGTTTGAGCCAATCAGTTGTGTTGTGACAAGGTAGGGGTGGTATACAGAAGATAGCCCTATTTGGTAAAAGACCAAATCCATATTATGGCAAGAACAGCTCAAATAAGCAAAGAGAAACGACAGTCCATCATTACTTTAAGACATGAAGGTCAGTCAATACGGAACATTTCAAGAACTTTGAACGTTTCTTCAAGTGCAGTCGCAAAAACCATCAATTGCTATGATGAAACTGGCTCTCATGAGGACCGCCACAGGAATAGAAGACCCAGAGTTACCTCTGCTGCAGAGGATAAGTTAATTAGTGTTACCAGCCTCAGAAATTGCAGCCCAAATAAATACTTCACAGAGTTCAAGTAACAGACACATCTCAACATCAACTGTTCAGAGGAGACTGTGTGAATCAGGCCTTCATGGTCGAATTGCTGCAAAGAAACCACTACTAAAGGACACCAACAAGAAGAAGAGACTTGCTTGGGCCAAGAAACATGAGCAATGGACATTAGACCGTGGAAATGTGTACTTTGTTTTGGAGTCCAAATTGGAGATTTTTGTTTCCAACCGCTGTGTCTTTGTGAGACGCAGTGTGGGTGAACGGATGATCTCCGCATGTGTATTTCTCACCGTAAAGCATGGAGGAGGATGTGTTATGGTGTGGGGGTGCTTTGCTGGTGACACTGTCTGTGATTTATTTAGAATTCAAGGCACACTTAACCAGCATGGCTACCACAGTATTCTGCAGCGATACGCCATCCCATCTGGTTTGGGCTTAGTGGGACTATCATTTGTTTTTCAACAGGACAAGGACCCAACACACCACCAGGCTGTATAAGAGTTATTTTACCAAGAAGGAGAGTAATGGAATGCTGCATCAGATGACCTGGCCTCCACAATCCCCCGACCTTAACCAAATTGAGATGGTTTGGGATGAGTTGGACCGCAGAATGAAAGAAAAGCAGCCAACAAGTGCTCAGCATATGTGGGAACTCCTTCAAGACTGTTGGAAAAGCATTCCTCATGAAGCTGGTTGAGAGAATGCCAAGAGTGTGCAAAGCTATCATCAAGGCAAAGGGTGGCTACTTTGAAGAATCTAAAATCTAAAACATATTTTGATTTGTTTAACACTTTTTTGGTTACTACATGATTCCATATGTGTTATTTCATAGTTTTGATGTCTTCATTATTATTCTACAATGTAGAAAATAGTAAAAATAAACAAAACCCTTCAATGAGTAGGTGTTCTTTTCTTTTCTTTTGACCGGTAGTGCATGTATATGTCTTTTTTATGATAGTATTTCACTCAAGATGCATACATTGTCCAATCAATAGATATATTCTTATATCTAAATAGGCCATTTGACTTTTAAAATTCTATTTGGTTTTGTATTTCAGGCCCTTGATGTTCATGATGCTCACGGACGTATTCTTGGGTACCAAGTGAGCTACACACAAACAAAGCACCCCTCTCTGAGTGTGACCACTAACACCACAGATCTGAAGGTGGTCCTTGTGGTGTCCGAGGAAGAGTTGGAGGTCACAGTTATGGCGTACAATAGCGCTGGTGGATCTCCTTACTCTCATCTAAAGATTGACCCGAGTCTTCATCAGAGTGAGTTAAATGTCTGTTTTCACGAATAGATAGTGACTACAGAGGGGTTTGACTTTCATTTCAGTGGGTGATAATCTCAACACCCAGAACCAAATCTCAGTGCAACTCGAATAACCGCATGTCACAAGAGGCTAAATGCTTGGTAATGGAATGTACTTCTGAGAAAATGAAAGAGAGAAGAAGTCTCTAATCTTAACAACCATCTGGTTGATTAGACTCCTCCACCCTTGACAAGATTGTGCAATATCCTTTATGTGTCAATATCACCCATTTCTGTAGAGGCCTGAGAGGGAAGTGAGAAATGTCAGATGCATAAGCCCTCTGTCTCCAGCCTTTACGTCAACATTTTTACCAGTGATGTTATTATATGTATTTTTCTAGATTGCCCTTGAGCTATTCATTCAGAAATCAAAACCGTTTAGTTAGACATTCAACATAGGTATTTGCCCCCTGAAGGGGCAAAGCTTTTCACCTGGTGTAATTGGTCAGATATTAGGTCAATTAACATATTTAAACAGTGGATGTTGGTGTTAGCTGTATCCTCAGTGAGAAGACTTTGGGTGAATTCTGAAGATGATAGGCTGGTGCTTCAATGGGATGTGGGACACATATCCCTGCCAGTTAGTGAGGTTGCCCATGAGTGGGCCACTGATGCTGCACATCCCACATCCAGTCACTGGAAACGAGTAAATGGCTCCACCAGATCAACAGTCTTGAAAGGTAAATGCATGGGCATGCATTGTGATGAAGTAGACAAAGCATTGACACCACATGTATCACAGTTAGATCGCAATAAGACACATTGACTGTGCAAATGCATGCACCTCTGTTTCAGACCATCTTCAGCCTGGGACAACATACAGAATCAATGTTTACCCCATATCTAATCAACTGTGTGGGCCACCCAAGTCAATCTTTGCCAACCTGGAGTACGGAAGTAAGTAGGGCTAATGGTAAAGTCGTAACATTTATTCCCTTTTTGTTTATGTGAAATGGGGTTCCTACTATTCCTAGAATATGTTGCACAGGCGGCTGGTGGCACCTTAATTGGGGAGGACGGCCTCATAGTAATGGTTGGAATGGAATGAATGGAACAGTATCAAACACATCGTTTCCAGGTGTTTGATCCCATTCCATTCACTCCTTTCCAGCCGTTATTATGAACCGTTCTCCCCTCACGAGCCTCCTATGCTATGTTGCTTCAGCGCTTTTAGGTGCTATCGGAATGCACGTTGTGGATGTGACTAAAAACACAGTGACTGTACAGTGGGAGTGGCAGAGGAAGGAGCTTCACACCAAGGTTCTCAGATACAGAGTGATACTGCGCCTGGGGGAGATACAGGTCGAATGTAAGAGCATTTCCTCTGTTTACATACAGTGCCTTGCAAAAGTATTCATCCACCTTGGCGTTTTTCCTATTTTGTTGCATTACAACTTGTAATTTAAATGGATTTCTATTTGGATTTCATGTAATGGACATACACAAAATAGTCCAAATTGGTGAAGTGAAATAAAAAAAATAACTTGTTTCAAAACATTCTCAAAAATAAATAACCGAAAAGTGGTGCGTGCATATGTATTCACCCCCTTTGCTATGAAGCCCATAAATAAGATCTGGTGCAACCAATTACCTTCAGAAGTCACATAATTAGTTAGATTGCACACAGGTGGACTTTATTTAAGTGTCACATGATCTGTCACATGATCTCAGTATATATACACCTGTTCTGAAAGGCCCCAGAGTCTGCAACACCACTAAGCAAGGGGCACCACCAAGCAAGCCGCACCATGAAGACCAAGGAGCTCTCCAAACAGGTCAGGGACAAAGTTGTGGAGAAGTACAGATCAGGGTTGGGTTATAAAAACATATCCGAAACTGTTGAACATCCCACGGAGCACCATTAAATCCATTATTTAAAAAATTGAAAGAATATGGCACCACAACAAACCTGCCAAGAGAGGGCCGCCCACCAAAACCCACGGACCAGGCAAGGAGGGCATTAATCAGAGAGGCAACAAAGAGCCCAAAGATAACCCTGAAGGAGCTGCAAAGCTCCACTGCAGAGATTGGAGTATCTGTCCATAGGACCACTTTAAGCCGTACACTCCACAGAGCTGGGCTTTACGGAAGAGTGGCCAGAAAAAAGCCATTGCTTCAAGAAAAAAATAAGCAAACACGTTTGGTGTTCGTTAAAAGGCATGTGGGAGACTCAACATATGGAAGAAGGTAATCTGGTCAGATGAGACTAAAATTGGTCAGAATTGAAGGAATGATGGATGGTGCTAAATACAGGGGAATTCTTGAGGGAAACCGGTTTCAGTCTTCCAGAGATTTGAGACTGGGATGGAGGTTCACCGTCCAGCAGGACAATGACCCTAAGCATACTGCTAAAGCAACACTTGAGTGGTTTAAGGGGAAACATTTAAATGTCTTGGAATGGCCTAGTCAAAGCCCAGACCTCAATCCAATTGAGAATCTGTGGTATGACTTAAAGATTGCTGTACACCAGCGGAACCCATCCAACTTGAAGGAGCTGGAGCAATTTTGCCTTGAAGAATGGGCAACAATCCCAGTGGCTAGATGTGCCAAGCCTATAGAGATATACCCCAAGAGACTTGCAGCTGTAATTGCTGCAAAAGGTGGCTCTACAAAGTATTGACTTTGGGGGGGGTGAATAGTTATGCACGCTCAAGTTTTCAGTTTTTTTGTCTTATTTCTTGTTTGTTTCACAATAAAACATATTTTGCATCTTCAAAGTGGTAGGCATGTTGTGTAAATCAAATGATACAAACCCCCAGGTTGTAAGGCAACAAAATAGAAAAAATGCCAAGGGGGGTGAATACTTTCGCAAGCCACTGTATTAGTCCAGGCGATTTGTGAATTTTTTCTTTTTACTTTTTCATTAAAGCATGAAACTTGGGGGCCCTGAACATTTTCAGTTATGGATAAAATCTTATGAATGGTCTACAATACTAGCATGATGATGATTTGCATGGTAGTGCATTCAATAACAATGTGACAGTTATTTTCTCTTCTGTCCAAAACTCCTTAAAGACCGGGCCGAAAATTGCATTAATAATGAATTGAAATAAATGACGGATTTTGCATGAATGTTTGATCTCAAGTTAGGATTTGGTCCTATGTGATAAAGTCATTGTTTTGTCCCTGGATTAAACAATCACAGTGTTGAAACTATTATTGATATACAGACAGATCAATTGCTCTTCTATTCTCCATCTCAGCTCTCCCTGTCTGGCCAGATGTATGGCAACATACATTCCTCAAACTCCGTGCAAACACAGGCTATTCTGTTCATTTACTGGCGGAGACTTCTAATGACAACATTTCAAGAGAAATTATTCCTATTAAAACAAATATTTTTGGTAAGTATTTCTTGAAGTACAGTATTGTTGAGAACATATATGATTAGTCAGGTAGCCTTATGGTATTAAGCTGGTAGTGCATAATATCATTAGAATTGGGCAATTCTAAATTATGCTATCTAGCTACAGGCTTGATTGGGTCCAAAGCTGCTGATTGTGCATTGGTGTATTTTAATGCATACCTCATTATAATGTTGGTAGAATATTAAATATAAGGTTATTTTGTCCACATTGGTTTTGATTTACCAAATAAACATACGTGAGTATATGAAACTTGTTCCATTTTCAGAACAAAATGAAATAATGTTCACCTCCTGTCTAATCGTCCTGCTTACCCTTGGCCTTGGAGTTTTCTTAATATTATCCAGAACTGTGTAAGTCATACATTTTTGTATTTTTCTTCATAATTAAAACTTTATCACATTGTTTTTGCTTTTCTCATTGCTTATGAGTACTTAGCTTCATCAGTATCATAACATAAGGCCAAGGCTCTTTGTCATTAATGATCAGGGATGGATAAGAGCGTCTGCTAAATGACTAAAATGTAAATGTCTTGATGCTTGCCTTTTCCTCTTGCTCTCTTTGATATGTGATTAGGCCTTATCTGATTGTCCTTCGGGCTATGTGTATACAGGTGTAGGATCTTAATTTGACCAGTAACAAAATAATCCTGCAGCAACAGGATTTGAACATTTAGTCCATAATGTTGCTTGATCAGTGGTTAGGCTATTAGCTGGACAAAAGTAGGCTACATGAAAAGTGCAGTACTGTTAATATAACCTTGTGTCAGTGAAGGTTTTCAGTGAATTTATGTAAATCATGAAGCTCATCTGCGTTTAATGCTGCGCAGGAAAATGTTCTGCACTAAAAGTGTGATCGAATTAAGATCCAACATCTGTATACGAATGACGCGAAGGACAATCAGATACATTATACATGAGCCGAAGGCAAATCAGATAAGGCCTATACACCTATCAACGAGAGCAATAGAAAAAATGGCACTCTAATTCGTGTTTTTTAAAATCTTATCTTCCGCTTGTCTCTGTGTATTTGCTGTGTATGTTTTCTTACGTATGTATTTGGCTTTTTTATGCTGCACAATAATTTCCTTTCGGGGGACAATAAAGATATATTGAATGGAAATGAATTAACAAGAAATTCGGTAGAATGCCCTGGAATGAGGAACGAGAATGAGACAAAACTGTGTCATGTCGAAGGTTAAGGGCTTTATTCTATAAATCCACACTGCATATGTTGTTTAAACACATTGTGCATATTATTATTGTGTTATTTTCTTTGCAGCTGCAAAGCATATTTCTTCCCAACAATTGCTAACCCTGGGGTCAGTGTTGTTGGACGATGGCTTTTGGAGTCCCACCATGAGGTGATTTTCATGGATATGCACGGTTGCATCCCCCATTTGGGACACGCACCACATGTCGGAAATTGTTGTGTACAAAGAGAGGGTGTTGTGTTGTATTAGTTAAGCTTCTTAAAATCATAGACCACAGTCTGTGTATAATGTACATTTCCCCCAACAGAAAAGCAGTGTGAAGAACGTACTGAAGCTGGAGGAGTTCTTAGAAAAAGGTTTCGTTGAGCTGGAGCAAGAAAGGCCACCTGTGAGAGAGGACGGGATTTGTAATCCTGGTTCATCTCACAGTACCCTCAATATAGAACATGTGTCTATTCCACAAAATACAGAATACATTGAAAACACTCCTAAAAGTAACAGAGATAACAGGGATTCCTGCCTGATGTTTAAAAATGTTGCCCACATAGAAAATGGCCAGGGTAGCATACTTCCAGAAAGCACCCAAATACAATGCGATTTTGACTATATAAGGAACGGGCATACTCCCGGGGAAATTGCATTTTTAGAGAACACCCCACTTGAATGCAATGTTGAGTAAATTGAAAACACTTTTTCTCTGCAATAATAGGCTCACAATGGATCGTCTTAAATGAATGCCATTTTAATATGGCGGCAGGTAGCTTAGTGGTTAAGAGCGTTGTGCCAGTAACCGAAAGGTCGCTGGTTCTAATCCCCAAGCCGACTAGGTGAAAAATCTGTCGATGTGCCCTTGAGCAAGGCACTTAACCCTAATTGCTCCTGTAAGTCGCTCTGGATAAGAGCGTCTGCTAAATGACTAATTATTATTATTAATATTCTCAATAAACCTGACTAGATTATCCATTTAAATGTTGTACATGTAAACCATTTTAAGTGCTACTGTTATTCATAATGTTACAGGCTTTGTTTTTTCCACTTATGTTTTGAGGTTGGACTTAAGCACGTATAGCTCGTTAGCACGTAGGGCGCACCGATTGGTGTCACCTCATTAGTCAGTATGTGTTACACCTGGGCTGGTTGCCATCTCGTAAGTGGGAAGGTGTTTCTCCTGTGCTGGCCCAGGTGCTATTTAAGAGTGGCTGGCCCAGTGCTCTTGAGAGATGTGGAGGGTTAACGCTTTTAGTTGGTGCTCTGTATTTTGATTTCTAGACAAACAATCCTTTATCTGATTTTCCCTGTTTTCGTTTTGCTCAATTTTTTGGTTTGCTTCCTGTCTTTAAGTTTGGTGTGGGTTTTTATTTTGTTTGCCTCTTCTTGGGCAAATTTAGTGGGCGTCTTTTAGGTTCCAGTTGTTGTTGCTAGTCAACTTTCAGTGAACACCCAATGAGGGTCTTTCAGAACCCCTCCTAAAACCCCACCTGTTTCATTTCGGTTGTTGTTAGTGACTCATTAGTTTCTGCTTCTGTTTGAGCAACATTTTTGGTTTTCTTGCTGGGGAACGTAACAATGTATACAGTATTTGTTCTGCTGTAAAATATTTTATTTACATTTTTACATTTGATATTAAACAAACTTCAACCCTATCCCATGTCATTTTATGGGTTAACTATATGGGTAAACAATGAGAATGATGAATATATTGTATGGCATTTATTATATGTAGTATTATGGGGAGTTTGTTATTTCAACTTAAATAGATATATAAACAATGATCTGAATTCAGCTTACCTGACTGATGGTATCCTATAAGCAAATAATATACTATGGAATCACTGATAGAGAAAATTATGAAGGGGAAAGTACACACTGAGATGGGACAGTTAAAATATTTTATTAAATAGATGTAGCTGCAGCTCTTATATAACTCGTCAGTAATTCTATTGCATAGTAATATCCATTACCTGTATAGAGGGCTTGCAGTTGAAGTACGACGCCTCCTGGTGGCTATGTTGGAAGAACACCGCATTAATTCTTTCGACCAAAACAGCTCAGTGACTACCCCAAACTGCATGATGACAGTGCCTAAACTAAATTAGTTGGTTCATCACCACGGTCATTTTCTGTGAAGTATTTGTCTGCTCTAACAAGGCAGGAAAGACAACGGGAAAAAATATGTTTACAGATTCCCTGCAATCATAAAAACACCATTGGTGACACCAATGAGATGAGACTCAAGAACTGTCAGAAAGGTGAAGAAACCTTTTTTCCCGTCAAGACTTGAACCCAGACAGCTGCCAGTACAGGGCCCGCTACGATCATTTCATCACTAGTAAGTCAAGTCTGATCGATTTCGGGTTTATTTTAGCAGTTATGCTAACCAGGTGTTAACAACACTACGCTAGCCAAAATTAGCTAGATAGCTCGTAGTCTAATAATTAGCATGTGTTGCGTGAGTTTCAAGTTTTGGGGAAGCTGTTTTTCACCATAAAAATGCACCTTTATAACAAAGGATTGCATACCTCTATCATCGCATTTGCAAACTAATGTGAACCTACTATTCCTAAAGTGATGAGTAGATTGGATAGTGATAATTTAGGCCATTAATAAGCGCGTAGGGGCATATGTTTATAGTTTATATCCGAGACGTTTCTTGCTTTGCACGGGAAAAATGTGGCGTTTGATTAACATTTCATGCAATTCTACTACACATTATATGACTGGAGACATTAGCAGAATCTTCTTTAATACGATGGTAGCCTAGGCCTACACTACTGACACTAGATAAATAAAAACGACCATGTCTTGAATGCAACCATGTAATCAAGGCCTATGAAAAGGAGTCTTGGCTAAAAGGGATCCAGCAGAATACAACAGGTGCAGACATTACAGTGAAATGCTTACTTACAGCCCTTAACCAACAGTGCATTTATTTTTTAATAAAAAAGTAGAATAAAACAAAAAAGTGTTGAGAAAAAAAGAGCAGAAGTAAAATAAAATAACAGTAGGGAGGCTATATATACAGGGGGGTACCGGTGCAGAGTCAATGTGCGGGGGCACCGGCTAGTTGAGGTAGTTGAAGTAATATGTACATGTTGTTAGAGTTAAAGTGACTGCATAAATAATTAACAGAGTAGCAGCAGCGTAAAAAGATGGAGTGGGGGGGGCAGTGCAAATAGTCTGGGTAGCCATGATTAGCTGTTCAGGAGTCTTATGGCTTGGGGGTAGAAGCTGTTGAGAAATCTTTTGGACCTAGACTTGGCACTCCGGTACCGCTTGCCGTGCGGTAGCAGAGAGAACAGTCTATGACTAGGGTGGCTGGAGTCTTTGACAATTTTGAGGGCCTTCCTCTGACACCGCCTGGTATAGAGGTCCTGGATGGCAGGAAGCTTGGCCCCAGTGATGTACTGGGCCGTACGCACTACCCTCTGTAGTGCCTTGCGGTCGGAGGCCAAGCAGTTGCCATACCAGGCAGTGATGCAACCAGTCAGGATGCTCTCGATGGTGCAGCTGTATCATTTTTTGAGGATCTGAGGACCCATGCCAAATCTTTTCAGTCTCCTGAGGGGGAATAGGCTTTGTCGTGCCCTCTTCACGACTGTCTTGGTGTGTTTGGACCATGATAGTTTGTTGGTGATGTGGACACCAAGGAACTTGAAGCTCTCAACCTGTTCCACTACAGCCCCGTCGATGAGAATGGGGGCGTGCTCAGTCCTCTTTTTTTTCCTGTAGTCCACAATCATCTCCTATCAAGACACCTATGTCAACTGGATTCCCACTGTGAAGATGAGCAATGCTGCAGTAGAAGATATGAAAGGAGACATCCCTCAATTATACAAGATGGTTGTCATATGCTATGCTTTGGTCAATCTGAATGAGTCTGTTGTGCCATTTGAGAAGAGCAACTTCACCTTGTCATCATGACAAAAGTGCCCCCTTAATCCGTATAAATATATAAAATGTCATTTGGAATGTGTAAGACTGTTTATGATATTGTAAACATACTGTACTTTAATAATACGCTACATTGTTGAATGGGTGAAATCAAAAGTATTTTGTCATCTCTGCTTTGCCTCATTGAATAAAAAGTATTTCTTATAGCCCAACTATTTTCTCTCTTTTACAATTTAAACACATTTAGCATAGACAATGTAATTGTTGTGGTAGTCTTAGGCAAACCATCTTCATTATCACAGTGGCACCTCCAAGTGCCACTCAGACCTTCTGGGAGAAAAGTATCTGGCATTGAACTTGGTGGTAGTTTTGGTATGTTTTAAGCTAAGGATCCCATCTTCCTGCTTCCAGACATTTCACCACCTAGATTACAAGGGTTGGATTTGCACTAAACAATTTAATGTCAGCACAAGGCATGTACAAAATATAATGATTAGCCTCATATACATTGTCTACTGATATTGTTTTTTGTTTGTTTACATATTGTTCAGCTATATGTTCTCCAATGTATGAGTTAAGCTTTTCTCTGCTTCAAATGCACAATTTCAAGGGGTGCATTGCAAATGCCCATAAGGCTAATGCCATCATACTGTAGACCTATGAGTGCATTGGCGTTACATGCTATTATCAGCTGCAAAATGGGATCACATGGCATGAAAAAATTGTGACAATCAAATTAAACTAATTGGAGAGGTTATGACTGAACAAAAAGGTAATGTTCATCTGAGAATACAACACAGTAACACAGATAAATTAGAGAGATTCCCTTCCCCTCTTTATTGCAGGATTGTGATCTGTGATTAATCAACATCAACACTTTGAATAATAGTTAACAATTAAAACAAGTTTAAACACAACTTAAAATAATCAACACTAATACATATCATTTCAAAGTGTATATATAAGCTAACTCATATGCAAAGGTTAGAAGTAGGCTGTTATTACTAAAGCATCATTTCAGGTAAAAAAGAAAAAAGTCAATACCAGAGGTGGCCTCCCTCGCTCCACTGATCCCTGATCTACTATGTGAGCAGACTTACATTTACATTTTAGTCATTTAGCAGACGCTCTTATCCAGAGCAACTTACAGTTAGTATTGTATATATTTTTTTTTCATACTGGCCCCCCGTGGGAATCGAACCCACAACCCTGGCGTTGCAAACGCCATGCTCTACCAACTGAGCTACATCCCTGCCGGCCATTCCCTCCCCTACCCTGGACGACGCTGGGCCAATTGTGTGCCACCCCATGGGTCTCCTGGTCGCGGCCGGCTACGACAGAGCCTGGATTTGAACCAGGATCTCTAGTGGCACAGCTAGCACTGCGATGCAGTGCCTTAGACCACTGCGCCACTCGGGAGATAATGAGTGTGCCATTGCTGTTCCAGCCCAGCAATGGCACACTTGATATTAACTAATTAGGTTTGATAGATTTAATCAGGTGTGTTAGTTCTGGGCTGGAACAGAAGAGTGCACAACCAACAGGGTTTGACGGCTCTCTGTACTGTATCTGAGGACAGAAAACATCACAAAGAAACAGGCTGCATTATACTCAAGTTAGACATCTGTGAATATTATGTTGCTATATCTCTCTGTCCTCAGTTTTTCTCGTTAGGGACTGGGACTAGAGAATAGTTTCATAATGTCCTCCCACAAAATTACCTGCCATATAACAGTAGCCTACTCTCCCTTCTCTGACAGCTGGAAGTGCTAGCTAATCCTTTCACCCACTCCAATGGCTGTTAGCTAGCTACCTACTGTACCTAGCTACAAATGATTTTGGAGTAACAACGATAAACGCATCAAGATAGCTAACTAGTTTATATGAAGTTAGCAAGCTGGTGACATTGAATTCAAGTAGCTAGCTACTGTAGCAAAAGTGCAAATCAATCCCAGAACAACAGCAAAGGACCTTGTGAAGATGCTGGAGGAAACAGGTACAAAAGTATCTATATCCACAGTAAAACGAGTCCTATATCGACATAACCTGAAAGGTCGCTCAGCAAGGAAGAAGCCACTGCTCCAAAACCGCCATACAAAAGACAGACTACGGTTTGCAACTGCACATGGGGACAAAGATCGTACTTTTTGGAGAAATGTCCTCTGGTCTGATGAAACAAAAATAGAACTGTTTGTCCATAATGACAATCGTTATGTTTGGAGGAAAAAGGGGGTGACTTGCAAGCCGAAGAACACCATCCCAACCGTGAAGCACGGGGGTAGCAGCATCATGCTGTTGGGGTGCTTTGCTGCAGGAGGGACTGGTGCACTTCACAAAATAGATGGCATCATGAGGAAGGAAAATTATGTGGATATATTGAAGCAACATCTCAAGACATCAGTCAGGAAGTTAAAGCTTGGTCGCAAATGGGTCTTCCAAATGGACAATGACCCCAAGCATACTTCCAAAGTTGTGGCAAAATGGCTTAAGGACAACAAAGTCAAGGTATTGGAGTGACATCACAAAGCCCTGACCTCAATCCTATAGAACATTTGTGGGCAGAACTGAAAAAGCGTGTGCGAGCAAGGAGGCCTACAAACCTGACTCAGTTACACCAGCTCTGTCAGGAGGAATGGGCCAAAATTCACCCAACTTATTGTGGGAAGCTTGTGGAAGGATACCTGAAACGTTTGACCCAAGTTAAACAATTTAAAGGCAATGCTACCAAATACTAATTGAGTGTATGTAAACTTCTGACCCACTGGGAATGTGATGAAAGAAATAAAAGCTGAAATAAATCATTCTCTCTACTATCATTCTGACATTTCACATTCTTAAAATAAAGTGGTGATCCTAGCTGATCAGGAATTGTGAAAAACTGAGTTTAAATGTATTTGGCTAAGGTGTATGTAAACTTCCGACTTCAACTGTATTTACTTACTTGAATAGGTTCTCCCACTGCCTCGGATTTCTGGGCCCTTAGAAAAACTAAATAATGGTCAATCTTCCCGAAGTTTCCGGTGGTAGCAAAACGCAACCAGCCATGTGGACGATTGGAGGACTTTATACAGACTGAATTTGGTCTTCCAACTTGACGCTAGGTGCGGTTGCTAGGTGATTTGTGACGCAACTGCAAGCCCTCTATTGACTGCATGTACAATATGTATGCCAAACTTCTGGACCATGTGTGGTTAAAGGGATAATCCACCCCAAACCACAAATTCCTATGTTAAACAATGTTAAATAACTAATATGTGAAAACAATATTTTTTGTCAACAAACGTTTCATTTTGTTTTTATAACAAGGTTGGTAGCAACATGTGAAAATGATTGTGAAAATCATTGTGGAAATTTGTTGCAGCTCAAGTCGACTACACAACCCACAACGCAATGCTCTCTCTGGGCTAGCTAGCTAGTTAGTTATCTAGCTAGCAAATGTAGATACACACAATAATACCAAAGTCAATATCAGCATGTGAAGTAGCTAGCTAACTGTAAAATCGCCTAAACAAACTGCACTATAAATTTAGGAGTCTATCTCACAGAGTTCAACTTGCAGTTCGCCTCTGCACAGAGCAGTGCAGAGTATGTTGCTATGGCAACAACGGCCCTTTCCCATGTTTCCCAGCATTGCGAGATGGTACTTGAAGGAAAAACTGAGTTTAATAATTTGGTACACTGTTTAGATTTAAATACACTGCTCAAAAAAATAAAGGGAACACTTAAACAACACATCCTAGATCTGAATGAATGAAATAATCTTATTAAATACTTTTTTCTTTACATAGTTGAATGTGCTGACAACAAAATCACACAAAAATTATCAATGGAAATCAAATGTATCAACCCATGGAGGTCTGGATTTGGAGTCACCCTCAAAATTAAAGTGGAAAACCACACTACAGGCTGATCCAACTTTGATGTAATGTCCTTAAAACAAGTCAAAATGAGGCCCAGTAGTGTGTGTGGCCTCCACGTGCCTGTATGACCTCCCTACAACGCCTGGGCATGCTCCTGATGAGGTGGCGGATGGTCTCCTGAGGGATCTCCTCCCAGACCTGGACTAAAGCATCCGCCAACTCCTGGACAGTCTGTGGTGCAACGTGGCATTGGTGGATGGAGCGAGACATGATGTCCCAGATGTGCTCAATTGGATTCAGGTCAGGGGAACGGGCGGTCCATAGCATCAATGCCTTCCTCTTGCAGGAACTGCTGACACACTCCAGCCACATGAGGTCTAGCATTGTCTTGCATTAGGAGGAACCCAGGGCCAACCGCACCAGCATATGGTCTCACAAGGGGTCTGAGGATCTCATCTCGGTACCTAATGGCAGTCAGGCTACCTCTGGCGAGCACATGGAGGGCTGTGCGGCCCCCCCAAAGAAATGCCACCCCACATAATGACTGACCCACCGCCAAACCGGTCATGCTGGAGGATGTTGCAGGCAGCAGAACGTTCTCCACGGCGTCTCCAGACTCTGTCACGTCTGTCACATGTGCTCAGTGTGAACCTGCTTTCAACTGTGAAGAGCACAGGGCGCCAGTGGCGAATTTGCCAATCTTGATGTTCTCTGGCAAATGCCAAACGTCCTGCACGGTGTTGGGCTGTAAGCACAACCCCCACCTGTGGACGTCGGGCGCTCATACCACCCTAATGGAGTCTGTTTCTGACCGTTTGAGCAGACACATGCACATTTGTGGCCTGCTGGAGGTCATTTTGCAGGGCTCTGGCAGTGCTCCTCCTGCTCCTCCTTGCACAAAGGCGGAGGTAGCAGTCCTGCTGCTGGGTTGTTGCCCTCCTACGGCCTCCTCCACGTCTCCTGATGTACTGCCCTGTCTCCTGGTAGCGCCTCCATGCTCTGGACACTACGCTGACAGACACAGCAAACCTTCTTGCCACAGCTCGCATTGATGTGCCATCCTGGATGAGCTGCACTACCTGAGCCACTTGTGTGGGTTGTAGACTCCGTCTCATGCTACCACTAGAGTGAAAGCACCGCCAGAATTCAAAAGTGACCAAAACATCAGCCAGGAAGCATAAGAACTGAGAAGTGGTCTGTGGTCACCACCTGCAAAACCAGTCCTTTATTGGGGGTGTCTTGCTAATTGCCTATAATTTCCACCTGTTGTCTATTCTATTTGCACAACAGCATGTGAAATGTATTGTCAATCAGTGTTGCTTCCTAAGTGGACAGTTTTTATTTCACAGAAGTGTGATTGACTTGGAGTTACATTGTGTTGTTTAAGTGTTCCCTTTATTTTTTTGAGCAGTGTATATACTTTAATGACCATATAAACGGATGGATGTGTTCGAGACAAGTATGCCCATACCATCTATTGGCTGATTTGGCGATCTGGAGTGCAGGTAATTTTTTTAAAGTGTTATGAAATGTGATAGTGTGTTATATTATCAGTGACGAGAACCATGTAGTTCCTACACGATTTCCTGATTTCACAGACAGACCACTTAGAAGTTAAATCACGGGGAAGATTTTTATTGTACTCACTGATAGAACATAGGCTTTCACAAAATTGACAGGAGTTAACATTTTTTCTGGGGGTGGATTATCCCTTTAAATGGCCTACTTTTTCTTAACATACTTTTATCCACTTAAAATACTGCAATGATGAAAAAGTATTCCATACAACATTATAGATTGGTCTAGTTCATATCTAAGGCACAGTGGAATAGTGGAAATAAAATCAAATCTACTTTGATCACTTTATGCCAATATTACACAACCATAAAAATGTCTTAAATGTGATAATACCTTAGGCGTTATAGTAAACACTACTTTGATTGGATGGAAAATAAGACATTAGAATGTTTTGATAATTCATTCATTGATTTTTCTACTGTATTTCATTATAAATGACATTTAGCGGTGTAATCCATCCTGGAGAAGTGCCCTTCATTAGGTTTAAAGATTTGAGCTCATACCAATCCAATGTTTCACCAACTGATGTGCAATGGCCTGTCTTGGTGGCATGGTAAAGGCTGGTTTCGTTCCCTTGACAATGACATTTATAACCTGCATTACACAGACATAGCACTGAGTTAATACATTATAATAATACAAGTTCACTGACATCTTGTTACATTCAGGTGATGTTTCATTTCTATCTAGGCCTATGTTATAACATGTAAATCACAGATTAAGAAAACTAGCATTTACCTGTTGCCGTGTAAACCAACAAGCCTCTTCAATTTCTTTTTCATCGACTTTGATTTCTGTTGACATGGCAACAGCCAGGCAACCAATCATTAGCGAGGAGGGCATTGGCCAGGGCTGACAGGACACATACTGAACAGGACCCACTTTAACCCCACTCTCCTCCTCCGTCTCTCTCCTAACTGCATCCTCAATGGCCTCACCTGCATAGAGAGATTTCACTGGCATCTATCTGCACACTCCAAATCAGAGTAAATGTTAAATGTTTTGTTTAGCGTGTTGAGATCAACTACCTGGTTCAATGAATCCAGCAAGACATGAAAACATCCCAGCAGGAAAAGTTTTCTTTCGGCCCAATAAGCATTGGTTGCCATCTGGGTGAATGACCAACATGATCACCACAGGATCTGCATGGATAACATGACACATAACATAACATTACATAAGTCAGATCATTTTGACCTGATTTTGAGGTTAGAACATTATAATAATGATTAAGAGAAAAAAAACATGCAGTAGTTCAGTTTCAATGAACAAATACAAAAACAGGAGGCTCTTTACCAACTCGTGGGTAACAAGTGTTGTGGATGCCTTGTTGGCTTCTGCAGTCTTTGTTGAAGCAGGTCCTCTTATAGCCTCCTTCCTCCACTTTGGTGTTACTGCCACATGTTGGGCAGAAGCTGTATCTGTTGTGCCAGGCGAGGACAGATCTGGCTTGAGCAATGATTCCTGAGGGAAAAGGGATCATCATTTTTGTGGGGTTAGTAAGTCTACATTTTGTATGCTGTTTCAATAATATTTTGATGAAGAACCTCCCAGAGAACTACTCACCAGCCTCAGCCTCACTAAGTTTTAGAAGGCCTGGCATGGGTGGTTTGAGGAAGAAGCTATTTGGATTGGTGAGTTGGAGATGATCCATGGGATTGTCATCAGTATTGAGAGCAAACCAAGCAGTGGGTTCATTCCTTTCTGTTGAAGGAGAGGATGGGGGGCTTCTCTGCTTCTCTACCCCGAGGAAGATGACTGTTGTTCCAGATTTTTTAAGTAGTTCTTTATTAACCGAGCTTGCATCAAGTCTACACAGTTTTATACCTGGATGGGCTGTGTTGCTCTCCTCGGAAGCAGACACAAGCGGGTTCAAGTTAAAGAACAAGATGAACACTGTGTCTGGAGAAGACTGTTTTGCTTCTAGCCACTTGCTGTCAGGCCTCTTTTCACTCATTCTGTTGAAAACTTCTCTGTTGAAGTAGTTTTCATGCTCTTCCATTCTGTCGCTGGGTAGAATCCGTTGACATTTGTTCTCACTCTTTGCCAACAACCTGGCAATATGTCGGTGTCCCCAGAATTTGGCAATGTCATAGGCAGTTTGAGCAGATTTATTAACTAAAAACTTGTCACACCTTGAGGGAAAGAGAAGTGTGATCAGTACAACTAATTAGGGTGTTATCTTCATGTTTACATGGTTAATCATCTGTCATCAGGTAATTAACCTGGGGTGTATTCACTAGGAACCAAACGGAAGCAAACAGGACAAAATGGGGAGGGACATACCTGAATTGGTATAATAGAAACTCTTGTTTTCATTACATCACTTTTTCCATTGGGAAATGTTTTGCTATGATGTACACTAATGAATACACCCCTGGTATTATTTTAACCATATGGTTAGACATTTAAAGGCACACACTCCAAGATGTGAATACTCAAAGTGGGCCACCATAAAAACATAAACAAACAAATGCATCCCATGCCATTTTCAAATACAAAAATAACTTGATTTCTATGATATATCTGTAGTGTTCAAGAATGACATTCCATGAGAGCATCATTACTTGTTTGAAACATGATTTTATCCTAATAGACCTACAATCTCCTGTGTCAAACAAAACATACACAATGGAGTAATAGTTGTCACTTACTTAGAAAGTAATATTTAGACAATGTAAAACTGTTGTAATAATCTCATATGTCCATGTCATATTTGTTCAGTATTTTTTCATATTTACCCATTTGAAAGTAGGTTGTCTACAATGTCAGCGTGTCCATTCCTTGCAGCTAGCATCAACGCAGTCCAGCCATTCTTCCCCACTTTCATTGACCAAAAAGATGGAATGAGAGATCATCCCAGAGACTTTTGCCAGGTCTCCTCTGGAAGCATAATCCAGGAATCTCTCCAACAGCTCCTCTTTGGGACTCATCTGAATATTTGCCATTTGAGTGTGATAGTATCCCTGTATGAATATGATAGAACATACATTATGATAGTTTATTTTATGTTTTGCTGTGCTGTGTATGCACTGCCATGTGTTTGATATACTGTATGTGTTTTTATTGAGCTGCCTTCTTGGCCAGGTCTCCCTTGTAAAAGAGGTCTTCTGACCTCAATGGGACTTCCTGGATAAATAAAGGTTAAATAAAATCTTTACTCATATGTTTATGTGATATTCGGTTACTTGAGATTGAGATGGAATGAAAGAAGTGGGCCTACATCAGTTTACCTATGTCTAGCGATTTACTGACTGGGATTTATGCCGCGTTCATGTGCTAGACGGAACTAGGAATCTCACAAATGTCTGACTTGCTAACACAGGCTTAGGAGATCTTATATGTTTTGTTCTATGAGATAATCTTCATCAGCTAACAATAATAATAATAATAAATTACATTTGTAGAGCGCTTTTCATTTACAGACGTCACTTTCTCCGAATGTTAAACCATTTATGTAATCAAAACAAGCACATAAAGCACAAAGGCTTCATAATTCATGAAGGTCATATTAACTGATTGATATTCAGGGTCGTAACCAGGGTTTGAGTTTTAGCGAGGTCCCAGGATAAAAAAAAAAGTTTAAGCTCATTTGCTGCATTTCTATACAATTCAACTTTAAAATGCCATTACCTTGGCTGCTGTAGGTTCATTCACCTCAGTCGATCTACAAACACATCGCCTATTAGCTATACTATTGTAATGTTATACCCCTAAGGGGATGGTCCAACTGGAGCTGTCACAAAATAAATGCACCCCCCTCCCCAATGTTAAAAATATTTTCACATGACCCTTCCCTTGTAATGTAAAAAAATAGAATTAACTCTAAAATAATGATTACCACCACAAATAACAATAACTGTAGCAACCCTGTGTTTATAAACGAGAATATCGACTTGACCACTTCAGCATGGTTTTGTGGCACAGTCGATGCCACACAGGGCTACGAGCCAGAAGGTTGAGGGTTCACCGACCACCACGGACGAGCTCACTTTCCCTGCCTGTCTCATTACACTTTGATCAGAGCCGGCTGCAGACAATCAGCTAGGGGGACATCCGATTTTCAAAATGTTGATGCTATATTTATAATTATATAAAATATATGCAACGATTTTCCACCAACAAGTTTCTGTGCCAGTGCACCACAACAACCCATAAGCAACACATAACTGCATACCGATTACCGACTTTGAGCACTTCTTCATGGTTTGCGTTTTCAACACAACAATCAAATAGAGTATGTCAATCTCGACAAACAGAAAATACATCACTCACTACTCAGTATCGATGGCTTGACAATCTCCGAATGTCATTACACTTTTTGGTGTTTTGTAACAGATGTCTCTTTCCATTCATCGAATGGCCGGTCCGCAGTTTGGATGCTGGAATTATATTAGTTAGTGGAGTGGATGAACGTATGCAGGTAGCCTACAGGATACTTTTTGAAGTAGCCTAATCAGATTAAAACATTGTGACTGGTTGTGTTTATGCCACACATAAAAGGTAATACATTTTAAAAGTTAAAGTATTTAGTCTATATTGAAGCGTTAGGTTCTAGGTCAAGGAATAGATGCTCGGATCGGAAAGGAGGCTGAACGGTGTTAAGCTTTCCTGAATAACTGGGCCTGCTGGGAGCATAGGCCTATGTGGCTACACTATAGGACGACTTGGGAGAATGATGATCGGCAACAGACAGCACATCAGTTTCAGAAGTAAAAATACAGACTGTCCTGCACTGTGCCCTTCTAGACTTTATAATTGGTCGAGAGTAGACCCACAACTGTCCAAATGGAATGAAACATTCAAATAACAGGGCTTTTGCGCAATTATTCAAATGACATTTTCACTCCAGTTTACAGCCTAGACTTGAATTGTACCCCTTGTAATACTACTAAACAACCATTGTCCAACACCTAGCGACCGCAACAAGATATTTTAGCCTTTTGGTATTGTAGTGAAGACAAACAGCCTACACATCGTGCCAATAGGGTTAACCCATTTGCTGGGAATTGTAACTTGGCTCATATAGCGAGGTTTGCTACACTGCCCCCTCTTAAATGCATGTACCTGTGCTTCGACTACTCAGCACTGTAGCACGTCCGAGCCGTGCGTTCCGATGGCGGCATGGCCGCCATCACACTTCTGACACCAATGTAGCAAACGGCAGGACAAGGAAGTAAAACCGTGTCACTGGCGTGAAAGGCAAACACCCTATGCCTCGTGCCAATAGGGTTAACCCACCTGGTAGGAATAGTATAATTACATGTTACATATGCTCTTATCCAGAGCGATTTACAGGAGCAATTAGGGTTAAGTGCCTTGCTCAAGGGCACATCAACAGATGTTTCACCTAGTCGGCTGAGGGATTCAAACCAGCAACCTTTCGGTTACTGTCCAAATGCTCTTAACTGCTATATAGCAAGGATTGTAACAGTATAATGGTTTTGGAATGACATTCACAGGGACCAGGGTTTGAGTCCCAGTCAGGGTACCCCCCTAATCCACTTTATTGGTGTCAGGTGTTTCTGTCAGGTATCTGTACTGCACATGTGATGGCAGAGTATGCAAAAGCTGATTGATACAAATCATCATGATATTATTCTGCCAGGTAGGCCTACTTTGAAGTCAACATTTAATTGGGAAGGTTTTTGGAGAAAAAGGTTGAAAATTACTGTTTCAGCATGCATCGCAGATTTTATAGAGCCGATGGGCTATATATCTTGTCTTTATAAGTATTTACTTCAGGCTGACTACTACCATCAACTTAAACATATACAAAATGAGTTTTGCAGTGAAACAATTCGAAAGGAAGGCTACAGCTAAATGTTTTATTTTTACTGTTTGCGATTCACAAATTATAATTTTATAAAAATGTTATATGTCAATCAAGTGATCTGGATACACTTATTGTGAAGAAGGTGGATTCTATAGCATTTATAGCCACCGTTATTAATTGTACTGCACAAGTGTCCAAGAAGTCCAAGAAGCTGGACATCATTATATCTGCAGCCGAGAAGTTTTTGGGCCTCCAAGGCTTAACGGCAAAAGGACTACAGTCACCAGGAAATGTCCCGCCATCACAGGATCCTTCTGAGCCTGTGTAGGGACCTGATTAAAACAGAAAAGCAGGTTGATTTAGTTTAATGAACATTTCGTTTTTGATAGTTAGTATGGATTATTTTTATTTTTTATTTTTATGTTTTACCCTGCATTTTGTCCTTTTCGGCTCTTTATTATCCACTTGTACAGTAGGTGGCGGAATGCACATATAATTGTTGCGAACGCCATTATACCGAAGAAGAAGAAGAACAGGGTCATGGAGCCGGTTGGAGGTGACTCGGTTGGTGGTCGGAAATGGCGGCGAGTAGCGCGGAGGAAAATGAGAAAAGGTTGTTGAAGCAACAGTTGTGCTAGAATGCGAACAATATGGGTGTCAGCTCTGATCGTATGGAGCGGGAGGATGAGGGTCAAGGACCGGAATGATCGGTAGTGGAAAGACATAGGAAGAAGAGATCATGATACAGAAAGCAGTGGAGCATCTAGTAAAGAAAGCATAAAGAGGGCCAAGGTAGGAAGAAAGAGTAATCAATCAATCAATTTTATTTTATATAGCCCTTCGTACATCAGCTAATATCTCGAAGTGCTGTACAGAAACCCAGCCTAAAACCCCAAACAGCTAGTAATGCAGGTGTAGAAGCACGGTGGCTAGGAAAAACTCCCTAGAAAGGCCAAAACCTAGGAAGAAACCTAGAGAGGAACCAGGCTATGAGGGGTGGCCAGTCCTCTTCTGGCTGTGCCGGGTGGAGGTTATAACAGAACCATGCCAAGATGTTCAAAAATGTTCATAAGTGACAAGCATGGTCAAATAATAATCAGGAATAAATCTCAGTTGGCTTTTCATAGCCGATCATTAAGAGTTGAAAACAGCAGGTCTGGGACAGGTAGGGGTTTCGTAACCGCAGGCAGAACAGTTGAAACTGGAATAGCAGCAAGGCCAGGCGGACTGGGGACAGCAAGGTGTCAGCATGCCCGGTAGTCCTGACGTATGGTCCTAGGGCTCAGGTTCTCAGAGAGAAAGAGAGAACGAGAGAATTAGAGAGAGCATACTTAAATTCACACAGGACACTGGATAAGACAGGAGAAGTACTCCAGGTATAACCAACTAACCCCAGCCCCCCGACACATAAACTACTGCAGCATAAATACTGGAGGCTGAGACAGGAGCGGTCCGGAGACACTGTGGCCCCATCCGAAGAAACCCCCGGACAGGGCCAAACAGGAAGGATATAACCCCACCCACTCTGCCAAAGCACAGCCCCCGCACCACTAGAGGGATATCCTCAACCACCAACTTACAATCCTGAGACAAGGCCGAGTATAGCCCACAGAGGTCTCCACCACAGCACAAACCAAGGGGGGGCGCCAACCCAGACAGGAAGATCACGTCAGTAACTCAACCCACTCAAGTGACGCACCCCTCCTAGGGACGGCATGAAAGAGCACCAGCAAGCCAGTGACTCAGCCCCTGTAACAGGGTTAGAGGCAGAGAACCCCAGTGGAGAGAGGGGAACCGGCCTGGCAGAGACAGCAAGGGCTGTTCGTTGCTCCAGAGCCTTTCCGTTCACCTTCACACTCCTGGGCCAGACTACACTCAATCATATGACCTACTGAAGAGATAAGTCTTCAGTAAAGACTTAAAGGTTGAGACCGAGTCTGCGTCTCTCACATGGGTAGGCAGACTGTTCCATAAAAATGGAGATCTATAGGAGAAAGCCCTGCCTCCCGCTGTTTGCTTAGAAATTCTAGGGACAATTAGGAGGCCTGCGTCTTGTGACCGTAGCGTACGTATTGGTATGTACGGCAGGACCAACTCGGAAAGATAGGTAGGAGCAAGCCCATGTAACGCTTTATAGGTTAACAGTAAAACCTTGAAATCAGCCCTTGCCTTAACAGGAAGCCAGTGTAGGGAAGCTAGCACT